AAAATTTATTAAAAACAGTTTTTGTATGAGAATTTTTAAAATTAAACTTGTAAAGAAAACACACTCCAGATTGCGTCTGCATGACTCCTGCACGACTTTAACAACTTACTTAAAGTTCGTTTTGTCGTTGCTAATTAAAAGTGAGTTATTTATCGAAACCCCGCAAAGAAAGTTGGTTATTTTTAACAATTGATAACTTTTCATTGCAGGGTAGTTATCGATATTGCTTTCGATATTGTTATCGACATAATAATAGATTTTATTATCGATATATTTGTAAATATTTTCATAGATATGATAATCTATTTCGTTATCGATGTAACAATCGATTTTGTTATCGATATTTTTATCGAATACTTCATCTATTTTGTTATCGATATGTTCATAGATTTTGTTATCTATGTTTTTATCGATTTTTGAAATGAAATATTTAAATATGGGTATCAAACGAGAGAACTCAAAAAAAGCTTTATTTTCAAAACAGTTTAGTGAGGGTTGCCAATTTTTTAGAAGTTTATGCCAATTTAGTTAATAAATTAAATTCAATAGTTAATATGGGTATCAAACAAGAGAGGTTTAGAAAGCTTTATTTCCCAAATATTTTATAAAAAGGGGGCGGGCACATGTGTGTTGAATAAAATATTTTATTATGGTTGTCAAATTAGAGCGGCTCAAGCATGCTTTATTTATGAAATACTTTGGAAGGGAAAGGTGTAAGTAAGCTGTATTTATCAAACGTTTTTTTTAAGAGGCTTACCACCATTCCTAAAACTGCAGTTCAGTTTAATGAGAGTTTAAATGCAACATTGCATTACGGGTGTCAAACGAATTAAATTAACGACAGCTAATTTTTGTCGGCCGCTGAGGTGTAGTGGTAAGCCTGGGTTCAAGCCCTGGTCAAAGCAACAGCGCAAAAAATATATAAAAAAGGTTTCTCATAAATATACAATCGCCGTTCGGAGCCGGCGTAAAACTTTAGGTCCCTCCGCTTTGTGTGACAACATCAAGGCGCCGCACGCAAATCGGAGGAGAAGCTCGGCCAAACACTAACATATGTGTAAGCGCCAGTCTATTATTATTATTATTATTATCATTATTAATTTTAAACAAATATTTTTGAAGAAGGCTGTAACCTATTTGAAAGGCTCAATTTAATTTGATAGCTTAATTAATTGAAACATTTTATATATGCATCTTATATATTTACCCAAAATTCTTGTGAAGGTATTTTATAGAAGAGTTGCCAATTTCAAAAATATATGTATGTAAATAATTTTTTTTTACTTTTTTGTTATGTCCTGAGATTTAATTTGTATCCAAAAATACCGGTTTCTATTGGAGCGCCATCATTTGTATAGTGTGATTCAATACCGGCGATGTTCACTATAGGGACATTGTTTAATGCGCTGTGTGGCAATTGGCACCTTATTTTTTGAAACCACATATTGCCAATCCCATGTCATCTAATTCAGGCCATGAAAGAACTCCGTTACCGGCACCATTTTCGAAGCAGTGCGGTCCGTTTATTTAGCCAGCCTAGAAACTAGATTAAACTCGATGGACTCGTTGTAGGTGCATAGTATTTTTCTTGCAGTGGGCTCAATTTTTCTTGTTAGGGATCCGTTTAGGTGAAAATGTGGCTCATCGATCATGATGAGTTTTTTTTTTTTTTGATCGGCATCAACGTTTTCGTCACTTAAACGCTAAGTTTCCCAAAGCCTGGAGTACCAATTGCCCGAAAACAAAAAAACATGCAAGTTAATGTCAAAGTTAAGTTTATTCCATGTATGCAAAGTATGTATGTATGTACCCGTGTACACAGCTCTCGTTGCAAAATACTTAAAACGTCCTTCGCATTTCCTTACAGTTAGCGGAAAAGTAAACAATACTAAGCCCAAGTATACCAGCTTTCATACTCAACTTCAGTCAGGATAAACGCCAGCAACAAGAAAATCGCAAAACGTCTCGGTTAGCACTTTTGCTAGCTCTAACTATTTAACCACCATTTAACCCAAAGAATTTTCCAATCAACATAGAAAACCCTATTAAACATAGTAACAAATACTGAGCGGTAAGCGGCCTCCGCTTTGTTTTGCTTCATTAATCCTTTTCTGTAATTTTTCATGTTTCCCCACCCTCCGCAGAACTTTAAACTTTATTTCGTGTCTTGGCTGAAAATATTCTTCTGCCAATAGCATGATGGAGCGAAAATACGGAAATGCTACCCATGCATACTTTTACAAACATACTTATGTATGTCTGTGTTTACACATTTTCAATTGCCCCCTTCAAAGTCAGTGTTAACTCAGCGGCTCCTATGCAGCAGCCATTTTGATGACGGTTAATTTAGTGACGGCAAAGGGGCACGTGAGGAAGAAAGCTTGACCTAGCTGTTAGATATACTATGTACATGCATACATACATATATACATTTTGTTTAAAACTTTTGGAATTTTTAATTAGTGCCAATAATAGCAGCAGCGTAGCAGGAATGTGGGAAACGCAGCCGTAGGTTGTGAAATCGATATTTTATTGTTGGACGTTGCGTATGAGCAACATTTACCGGGCTGGCGTTGGAGAGTATCAATGGAAGCGGATATTTTTTTTTTTTTTGTTCGGTTTCTCTAACTGCATTAGGTTTTGGATTTCTTGTGTTTTTTGAGTTAGCTTTTGCTTGTTTTGTTTGTTGTAAAGTCAAAGTTTGATTTAAATTGAATTTTTCAAAGTTTGTTGTTTGACACCTGTAAGTTGGTCTTCTACACTTAGCACTTCGCGTCATTTCAATAGCTTTAGGTATGTATGTTGCAGAGCTCTTGATCTTTCAAAATGCTTTTGGCAATACTGTTGTCTTCTCTTTGGTAATGCGGAAACCATTACGATTGCGGGTATGTTTACTTTACAAATACGGCTACGGATATAGATACGATGCGAATTCAAATATTTTTAAGAATAGGAATACGGTAAATGTAACGGTTACGGGTACGTTATAGTTATGGTTAAGGATGTACCTACGGCTCTAAATAAATAATGATGATATCGAAAAATATGAAAATTAGTGCAAATTCATAAATTTATAGAGAGCTATTCTGATTGGACATCACTAAGGATACATAGTATACATGGCTTTCCACTAAAAATGAATACCTGTACATATGTATATAAAAGAGAAGTTGTATAACTAGGTCTCATGAGGATCGCCATCTGTTTAAAAAGTTAAATTAAATTAAATTAATAGGATTGATCAAATATCGCAGTAGGGGTAAAGATGGCAAAGGGCTTAAGAGAGCTAATTTTAAAAAATATTTTTTGAATAGGGTTGCCACCTGCTTAATATTTTAAATTCAATTAACCTTATTACAGAAAAGAAATATTACAAAAAGGGGACTCTACCGAAAGAGATTTAAGATCACTGTCCAAAATATTATAAAGAAGGTTCTAAAATAATTAAATTCGAATAATACTATATGTATATGTATCTATCTATTGTATTGTATTGTAAAAATGGCAAAGGGCTTACAAGAGCTCATTTTCAAAAATATTTTTTTAATAGGGTTGACACCTGCTTAATATATTAATTTCAATTAACTTCATTACACTAAAGAAATATTACAATAGGGGTCCCAACCGAAAGAGATTTAAGATCACTGTCCAAAATATTATAAAGAAGGTTGCCACCTGCTAAAATAATTAAATTCGAAAAATTATATATATTCATATCTAAAGTAAATTCGCTATGAAATCGTAAAAAAAAATAAATTCATTTAAGGTAAATTAATCACTTCAATACAAGTATCAATCGAAAAAAATTTAAATTTAAAATGCTGCACTTTTGAACTAAGGGAAGAATTAAGGGAATTAGGAATGAAGGAATGAAGTAAGTATGTATCACAAGATGGGTGTCACACGGAATAAGTTAAAGAAAGTTGCATATTAAAAGCATTTTAAAGAGGGTTTCCAACTATTTAAAAAGTTTAGTTCAATTATTGTAATCAGTTAAAGGAATTATTATTTTGTGGTTATTAATCGAAATAGTTTTGAGTGGGCTATTTTCTAAACTACATTTAGGAGGGTTGCCACTTGTTTAAAAAGTCAAATTCAAATTGAAATAGGAAAATTAGGTAATTGAAATATGGGTTTAAAACTAAAGAGGTTTGAGAAGGTTGCAGTTTGAAACAGGTTACCACCTGTTAAAAAAGACGAATTTAGTTAAACACAACTTAAATGAAATATCTATCAAAATATAGGTGCCAAAAGAAAAAGTAATAGGAAGTATTTTCTTTGAACATTTAAAGTGTTTAGAGGTTTGAAAGGGTTGCCACCTATTCAAAAATCAAATTTAATGCAAATTATTACGATATGGGTGTCAATCAAAAAGTTTTTTAAAAGCCTTTATTTTCTAAATAATATGCAGGAAGGTTGCCAACTTTCTTAAAAGTAAAAATTTCCTATACGTTCGGCTGAGTTTAAATATATTGCGTTTTATTGAAATAAATTACTTTTTATGTAGCACGCAGAAATTTCATACACTCAGCGAAGCGGGTGAGAGAAAACTAATGTTTTTAATATAATTTCCTCAGCTCCATCATAGGCGTGTATTTATGTATCTTTTCGAAACGGAAATGATTTTGTTTGCGGCACTTTTTCCACAAAGTATTTAGCAACGAACGAATTCTATACACATATGTATGTATGTACATGAATACCAAAAGTTCGCTCAGCAATTGTAGCAATAAATTACTATTTGTGTAATTTTACTATTTTGCCGTTTTCTATGTTATATTTTAAAGAAAGGAAATATTTCTTTTTATACTTTCGCCATACCTGTTTTTTGCTAGGTCTTCACTTTCTTGTTTTTTTTTTTTTACTTGGTCATCACCATTATTAGTTATTCTAACTTCTATTTACCACAAAACTTTTTATTATACACACATACATGCATATTTACCCAACTGTTCTCCAATTTACAATCTCCCGTCTTTTTTCTTTCACTCTCACTGCAGACCCGATGTCTATATTCTAACCATCACCCAAATGCTGCAATACATGACCGACCCAAAGGAGTTGCGTGACATCAACACCATCGAATCATGGAAGTGCGACAAAAGCGTTGCTGTTGCACCAAAGCCATGCAACATTTGGAATACCTGTGCGCTGCCCTTCAAGATACCCGAACAGAATGTAACGGACACACGCTACATGGAGACTTGCCGCGAATGTCCCAATGTCTATCCATGGTTGGGTGATGCCGGTGGTACTGGCATTTCAGGACGTGACAATTACATTTTCTCTGGGCCAGCGAGCGCTGGCGATGGCGAGGGTGATGATGCTGGCAGTGATGATGAGAATTAGAGCGCAATGGAGGATAGTAGCAGCAGTGCAGTACGTACGTATGTATGTATGTAGGTGGTTGAAAAGGTGCGCTAAGCTAGTGTAAGCTGTAATCAACCTAAAAAGTTTTAAGGGTCAGGTGACAAGTGTCAACTGACAGCTGCTGTTAACTGTCAATTGCCAACTACATACATACATACATGAGTGTGAAGTGTTTTGTGTTTACCTTTGTAGTTTTGTGTTTGGTTTTGTTATCTTCTATAGGTATTTTTTAATTTGTTAAATTTTCCATCATTTATTAAATGTGCCAATTAGTGTTTACATAACAGTTTTACTGTTATCCCTGCTTTAATGTCTCAATGCGATAGCTCTTTTCGAACGTACTTTTTTCAAAATTGTTTTTAATTTAATTTTGTTTTTCAAAATACTCAGCCTTTTGCCTTGTTTTAGTTTATAAGCCATGAAATCGTGTCAAACGTAGACATTAAGCAAATATAAGCAAAATAAATTTCTGTTTTAAATAAGAAACTGACTATGAATGAAAACAGGTGATCTTTATTTACAAGAAAAGCTATGCTGTTTTTTTACTGTAAGTATGTTTTGTAGATAATTGCATTTTTTTCAGGCTTTCTGTTTGAATCATATGGAAAATTTAGGGTCCGCAAGAAATATAAGAAACCACATGATTTTTTTATATTTTTTTATTATAATTATTTGTTTATAAAAATGTAGTATATTCTTTGACAAAAACCATATAAATCCAGGTTTCAATCTTTGTGCAACATTTAAATAAAATCAAAAAAACTTTCGTAAAAATTTTGAGTTTTTTAATTCGATTTTTAAGAAAAGTTGTTAGTATGCAGTTGTACGGTCCATTTTACTGTCATAAAGTGAAAGTTTCAAGCATCTACAAAATATCGTTGATTTTTGACAATTTTTTATGAAGGTGTTGCTCATTTTGTCCATATAAAAAAACTCGCCGAACATACTTTTGTATGGGAGCAAATGACTGCCATCCTCAACCAAATCAACGGTAAGTCCCAGCAACTATAAACTTGCACTTTATTAAACTAGAAATGAATGGGCAACAAAACTGCATACTCAGGTTTTTTATTTCATAAAAAAATTCCACCACCTCATTATAATTGATTTTTTTTTTACTGTGGGTAAAAATCTCCACTTTTTGTTCAATAATCCATTTATAAAATATGCCATTTCAAGTTTAACACAAACTCGATCAAAAATATTACCTTAGCAGATCTAAAATGGAACATTCAAGCCATTACCTTCTACTAGAGAGCCGTTTTACCCAAGCTGGCCCAATTTTTACAATGGTTAAAATTTTCCACAAAAATATATAAAGCTGCAAATTATACAAGAAGCCACCAAAAACTAAAATATCATGTGTATTATGGGAGTAGACGAAACACTGAATGTTTTATGAGATTTAATAGAACTTATTCCCAAACAAAGTAAAACTTTAAAAGAAAAAACCGATTTTTATGTTTAAAGGAATTTATGATAAAATAAGATGCCTCGAGATTTTTGGGTTTTCTTTTTAGACTTCAAGGTACTTAGGTATTGGTATGGGATACTTCAGAATATTTTTTGAAACTTTTCAGAATTCTTCGTATCTTGCTGTTCACCTTTTAAAATTCTTCGTTTTTCGGGATTTCTTCTGGAATATTCGGGGTTTGCTTCGAGGTTTTTTCGTGACTTTCGCAATTTTTCGTAGCCATCTTCACATTCCTCATAGTTGTAGATGTCTCTCTTCGTTCGGCTTTATCGGGCTGTATCTAAGACCTTTTTCATTTGGGATTATCCTATTGGATGCACTTTTCGTCTCCACTGACCATCCGATGCAAAACAATTTTACCTGGTTCGTCTTTAAAACGAGTTGATTTTTCGATTCCCGCTGTTGGGTACCAAACCCAGCACTTTCCATCCGCTACAAAAGAATACTTTAACCTACATAAATAATAAGAATACTATGTTTTGGCCGACCTTTAAATCAGCGAGTGTTGATGGGATTTTTCCAGCAATGCTACAATGAACTATTGCCATGAATACGTTCGGTCACTCTTGGAGAGGCAGTGCTTGAATACTCCAGTGAGGCCAAAAATCCATGAACAATGCTATTTAGATAAGACACTTAATTGGAACTCCCATCTTGAAAAACTGGCTTTTGGGAAGAGCGTGGGGATCGAACTCAAGGCTGATGGGGTCGCTGGAAACTAAAAAAAAAACTGTCATACTACGTCTCAACGAGCTGAAAATATTGGCATGTCTATCTGAAATTGAATCAATGAGAACTGGCTCAACTGCAGCTCTAGACTCGCTTTGAGACTTCTCATCATATTTTTATTCTATCAACAGCAGCTATGAGAGAGCTTGCTTCTGTACAAGGAAGCTTCATGCAAGGAATCTTGCGATGATACCATGGTTGGAAATATGGGAAATTTCTGGTTCCATAACTAAAGAGATCTGCTTTGGCAAACTGGATAATCCCACATCTACAAGATTGGACAAACGGGCTCTCCGCCCTTGAACCCAGATACTTCCGTTGGTACACAGACGTTCCACAGATAGAGAAAAGAGCAGGTGGAGGTGTTTATCGATCTGGTACGAAATTTGTGTTTTGAATGAAGTATTAGCAGTCTAATCCTTGCAAAATGTTTGAAAGATGAAAGATGCTTTGGCAAACTGGATAATCCCACATCTACAAGATTGGACAAACGGGCTCTCCGCCCTTGAACCCAGATACTTCCGTTGGTACACAGACGTTCCACAGATAGAGAAAAGAGCAGGTGGAGGTGTTTATCGATCTGGTACGAAATTTGTGTTTTGAATGAAGTATTAGCAGTCTAATCCTTGCAAAATGTTTGAAAGATGAAAGATGCTTTGGCAAACTGGATAATCCCACATCTACAAGATTGGACAAACGGGCTCTCCGCCCTTGAACCCAGATACTTCCGTTGGTACACAGACGTTCCACAGATAGAGAAAAGAGCAGGTGGAGGTGTTTATCGATCTGGTACGAAATTTGTGTGTTTGAATGAAGTATTAGCAGTCTAATCCTTGCAAAATGTTTGAAAGATAGGCAAGCATCCGCACGGCTTATCTCAAGTACGATGAAAAAATCCAAACTTGTTACTAAAAATGTAGTAACACTGTGCAATGACGACGCTGATGGGTTGGCATGAGAAAAATCGTTCAGGGTCTCAGTTCCTCCTCTTCAAGAACTATAAGAACGCAGTAAGTACGGGGATATAGTGGATGGCCGTAAACATGCCAGGCTTTTCGGCTATCCTTTTAATGGAAAGAATAATATTCTATTTAATATAAATGGCATGAAACCACTCTCTGGGTATCCAACTGGTCACAAAAGACTACGATTTCACATGCAACGAATAAGTGTGCATGCAGAGTTGGACTGCCGACTCTGGCTTGAGGACGAAGAGACTTCGGAACACATGCTTTGCGATTCTCTGGCCTAACTCTTTGTAATAAATAATTTGCCTACTAATGTCATTTCAGGATTCATTAAGGAGGCCGCATGTTTCGTAGGCATACTGGCTTAAGGACTCTCTTTAGTTATAGCATTTTCAGTTTAAATGAAACCATTTTCAAATTAAGCGAAACCTTTTTCAAATTAAATGAAACCTGTTTCATGTTAAGCGAAACCTTTTCCAAATTAAATGAAACCTTTTTCAGATTCAGTGAAACTTTATTCAAATTAAATGAGACCTTTTTCAGATTCAATGAAACTTTATTCAAATTAAATGAAACTTTTTTCAAATTAAATGAAACTTTATTCAAATGAAATGAAACTTCTTTTTTGGATTACTTTGAATTAGCTGTTACGTGTTGCTCTCCCTTACGGTCAAGGCATGTTAAATACAGTGTTGCCGTTTCGGTCCAATTGGACCAAAATTGGTGGTTTCATTTCTTAAAATAAAGCTCTGGTAGGTTGGTTGGTTTGCTGTGATTTTCGAGTGGTTTTGGTAACTAGGCAAATCATATAATTTATTCATTTTATAAAACTTCAAATATCTCTGTTTTCGGGAGTACATGTAAAGGATGATGTGAAAAGGAAAAGAGAAATGGGACATGTCAAAATTATTCTTGAACCGAAGTTGAATGTTGCCGTGATTAGACTGTGCTCTAATCCATAGGGTTTGTTTAAGTTAAAAGAAAATAATTAGACAATTGTTATGCAAATGCCAAAGTTTACATTTCGCTTAAGCGAGTGAGTGAGAAGGGAGAGTATTTGAGTGTGTTTTTACGTAGAAATCAAAAACCAACAGACTTCTACGTATGTAATGCTGTGCGTTGGGTAACACCTTACACGCGAAGCTCATTTAACAGATTCTTTATGTGACAACTCTCAAGCAATGCCAAGTATGCATAACAGAGCCTTTAGTGTTAGCCAGACATGGTGCAAACGGCTCTTAATAGGTTAAGTTGATTTCCTGTTCCTTAATTACAAAAAGGTTTAATACTTAATTTGAATAAAGTTTCATTTAATTTGAAAAAAGTTTCATTTAGTTTGAATAAAGTTACATTGAACCTGAAAAAAGTTTCATTTAATTTGAATAAAGTTTCATTGAATCCGAAAAAGGTTTCATTTATTTTGAAAAAGGTTTCGCTTCATCTGAAAAAGGTTTCAATTAATTTGAAAAGGGTTTCGCTTAGCCTGAAAAAGGTTTCATTTAATTTGAAAAAAGTTTCATTTAAACTGAAAATGCTATATACACACAAAAAACCTTTCAGTACACAGTGTCTCTGTTTTCTGCTACACACAACCTCTTCACTAACCAGCAATATACTTGTTTGCCAACACTGCAATTAATTTTTCATTTAAGCCAACTAAGAGAGTAAAAAAATTGTTTAAATTGTCAACTTACCACTGAGAGAACATATTATTATTTCACAAAATACCGCCGCTATCAAACGTAATGGTTGATCAGTAAGTTTAAAATTTTCAATATCACCGTAACCAGCACGTGGCGCACCCGCTTTAACCAATTGTGTAATCTACTTGTTCATTCAATACTCTGTTACAAAACAATTTTTCATGCATTTTCATGCTAGGTATGTATTTATGTGTGTTTGTACGTATGCCGAGGTAGTTAAGTACTACTACAACAACAACATAAAAACAATGTCAAACCAGCGCGATGAAAATTGAAACACGTCGTCTCATTGCTTAAACAGCCGAGGATTTTGTTGTTTATTTTACTCTGTTTTATAAATTTATTTACAGAAAAAGTATGTAGCTTACTGCGGTGGAAGGAAGGTGGAAAAAACAGGTTTTTCCTTTTGTAAATATTATCCTGTCGTAATTGAATTATAAAACCATGCTGCATGCCCTAAAGCGAATTTTTAAGCTCTCGGAAATAAGTTTGCAGTTTA